CACTGCTGTCGACGGTTGAAGCTTTCTTAATATAGAATGGCCAGTAAGTCGTAATAAAATTGGAGTAACCGGCAAGGAAGTGATCTGTATCTTATCATTTGAAAATATCAGGTACTTAAGTATCAGAACAAAAGACAAGTGTCTTACTAATCAGTAAATATTAATCATATTCTATAAATTTATTACCAATTTTGTTTTTTGTTTTTTTTTCCATTTTCGTTGAAACAATTTTCTTCACCGATTACAATTATACCATACAAACAGTGCATTCTTTGATTCTCTCAAAGTTAGGAATAAAAGCAGTAAGTTGACCTCAGATAAAGATCCAATTAAACTCGCTTGGTCAATTTAATAATTAGGAAGAACCCGACGGTTGCCTTCGCGCGTCCTGCTTATATATACGTTTCTTTAAAGAAACGTATTCTTATCAATGTACTAGCATTATCGTTCGAAACAACTTATCAAAGACTAAAAATACAACAAAAAAAAAAAATAAAAAAAGAAAATTACAAATGACCAATAGTATTTAAAACAAGGTACAAAAATTACAAATATATAAAAAGAAATACAAAGTTAAAAATATACACTTTCTTTCTCTCAATTGCAAATATGGATCAACGAGACGAGATTAAAAGAATAGTGATTATAACCTGCAGGCGGCGGTAAGGTGGGCTGTGGCGCAGGTGAGGTTCTAGGTGCGTGTCTGAGATCCAATGCCGCCTCATTGGATACTCTAGCGTCTTCGACGGGCTGTCGCGGGCTCTGCAGCCTTTGATGAGGTGATTGCAATCTATGGTGGGGAGATTCCATTGTGAGCCTTGCCTGCTCCAAGTGCCTGTGCGTTTCCGTCGCGTTAGAGTGCGGCCTCGGCACTTCGGCGACCGAATTCGACGGCGGTCTCGTCTGCTCGACCCTCGGCGAGGGCGAGGGTGGTAACCGAGGTGAGACGCCGACCGGCCGACTTTCCTGTCTGAGCTGCGGCGTCTGATCGTTCGTCAGGCCCAGAACCTGGGCGGCGTACTCGCCCTGGAGTGCCATCTCGGCACCCGTGAACGGTCCGCCGTCGCATCTCTTCAACCAGTAAATCCGCTGGCTGTGTGGTCTAGCCTCCCGTTCGTAGCTCTCCCACTGCTGCAACAGCAGAATGTAGCAGAGATTGCAGGCCTTGACAGCGCCGCTTCTGGCACCGTCGCCGCGGTAGCCGCTTGGCGGCTCGTGCGACTCGAGAAACGGAAAGTAGGGCTCGTTGGGCGAGCCACCTGGACTTGGTTTCACTCGTAGCCAATGCTGCTCGTTGTGGCCCACGGCGCCACAGACGAAGCAGATTCTTGCCCCGCCGCCGTCCTCGGGCGGATTGGGCTGCGCATTCGTGAGCGATTGCCCCTCAAGTCCCGGCTCATTCTTCACATATAATTTGCTTTCCATCATGTCAGGAAACCATTGGATCCCTTTTTAACGCCCTCTTATATCTTCGTGTTTGGCACGCATGTACGATCAGAAATCACAGTGATTGATAGAGCTTCTATCTCTTGTGTATATCTGAAAATACAGAATAGATTTGTAAATAAATTACATACGGGATATATGTATTTGGTTCTTACACATAATTCACATCTATTTGTATTGTAGCGATTGATAATTTGGTAATCATTTGCACTTCTTTGTATATCTGTCAGAGTCAACTGTACACAAGTGCACTTAGAACGTCTTACATGTAAATAAGATTATTTGAGTGCAAGTGTGATATAATTTTACAGATTAGAATATTTGTATCACCAAGTAATTTTATAAAATAACAGTAAATTTGCAATAGTCATTCGTGCATTTAAAGTTCATAAAGTACTTGTACTTCGCTAACGTTTCAATGATATCGGAACTTCTAAAAGTGACTTTGCTTTAAGCGTAACTATGATTCGAACAGCAAATTGTTTAACAAATTCAAATAATCGTAGCGCAATCGAGACAAAGATTCTCTGGAAAAGAAAGCAGACGGAGAAGAAGAATTCTTTAAAATTGATTTCTTAGCTTTCAGAAACTGTACGGTTGTAATCATCCGCCACGGTTCACTGAACAATTTGCTGTTTATACTACTTGATAATAAGCTGCACTGTTGCAACAACAAAATTGCAACGCATTTTGAAAGTAAAAACTTTGTGACTTTTACTTCCTTTGCACGCACAATGTTCGTAACGCCAATACGTCTACAACTCATTATCAAGCAACGGCACAAGAACGGAGATGTAATTCGTGCGCAAGCATCTGGTAAGCAAATAGACAGTCCCGCGAGGTGACGACGGTCAAAAAGGTGCGTTTAAAAAGAAGCATTCGTAAAATTCGTGACGATACCGCGGCATCTATCCGCGATGCATTTAGACCGCCGCCAGGCAGGCGGTATATTTTTGGAGCATCGCTACGTCGACGTTTACCGAGTCCGACCAGAGATCAAACTTCTCGGTACATCGGTAAGCGAGAGTGCTAAAGGATCGTCGTTCAAGGAGAAGCGTGTGTGTCACCCGTGTGTTTTCAGCGGCGGGGATGCGGGGTGAGGGAATCGGGATGCGGGCGAAACGCAAATGTAGGCGTGGAGGCGGCCGTTTTTCCCGACCGCGTCCCGACGACGAGCTTGATCGCCGTCGCGCGGTCGGGCCCGGACGATGACAAGCGGGGCGAGCGGAGGCGCGCGGTGCTCGCCGCGAGAATCGACGAAACGTGGTCCGAGAAATCTGGCGTGGTCGGACACAATGGTGGTGGTGAGCTCTCGCCGCCCGTTGTTCGCCTCCGCGTCGCACGTCCCCCGGCGATCGGCGATCGCCGCGGCCGTGCGACGTTCGCGTCTCCGGGACGGCGTGGAGCAGAGCGGAGCGGAGGAGCGCGCTGGGCGGCGCGGCGCACCGCGTTGCGTCGCGAACCGAGTCGCGGCGCGTTGCGCCGCGCCGCGCGACCCGGAGCGCCGCTCGTCGATTCCGAGAACGCCGATCTCGCCGCGCGAGCCCTGCGATCCTCTCTCGCTACCGAAATTACGCGCGGGCCCAGGCGACCGACGTGACCGCCGCCGCGCGCGGCCCGCATCGCGAGATCGCCCGCCCGTGCCAGAGCGTGCGGCGACACGACACTCACGTTCTCACAGTTCGGCAGGGCTGGCCACAACATCGCGTTGCTACTTGGTGCTTCCGTCTCGGCGGCTCGCTCGCGCTCGGACAAAAGCGGGGCTCCCTTATCGCGAGCCCTAGTCCCTGCCATACGTGGTCGAGCGGCGCACGGTGCCGCGGGGTGTCACCTTCGTCGTCGCGCTGCCGGCCGTCCCGATCATATTTACACGCGCCAACGCCGCCGGTGCGCGACCGACACCGAACAACCGGACACGTATCTCCACTGTCGCGCGTGACTGCGGGCGAACGACGAGATCCGCTACTACGGGCGACTAGGAAGGATACATTTTCCGATGGCACAGCACCCGCGACTTCGCCCTCACTTCGCCGCCATGTTGCAAAATCCGCGGATCCGCCGTCCCATCATGCCACGCAGCTTCATCATATGACAGCGCCGCCGGGACGGCCAATGGGAGCGCGCGGGGCACGCGCGCCGTCGCGACTTCGCGACCGGGCTGCCGCCACTGGAAAATCGGCGCGAAATGTGAAATTTATAACGCGCCACAACGTCGATGTGAAATTGCGTTTGGTCCGTATCTACAGGTCAAAAACTTGCTTTATGTACTTTCCTTTACACAAACTTTTTTGAGTTCTCCGAGAGCTTGTCGATGAGTTTAAAAAAGAAACAATCGCCATAGAATTAGCTATAGTTATTTTAATAATTGGTCATTTTCTTTCGCCAGAAAAAGAATCGAGATGTACGTGAAAATTTCAAGAACTCTCGAACTCGTTTCCTTTCGTTTTATCGGCGTTCGGCGACGTTTCGATTTGTTGTGATTATTAAAGATGAATCATCGACTTGCTCAACACGAATTTAATAGCGAAATTGATCAGAAAGTTTGCATTTAATCCTACCTTCAGAATAAATGCGTGGCCATCTGTTTCCCCAATTTTTTTTTCCATTCACGTTGAAGATAATTATAATTCCGAGATCAGATGATCAAATTTATCACGACGAATAGGAACTGCCTGGAGGGAGACAAACATATGATATCGAAACGGTATAAAAATATCTACTCGTCGTTCTTCCGCTATTATTAGTTGTCCCTCTTCCCGGGATTGATTATCGACATTATAAAACCGCGGAGCTTATATTGATTAATATTGCGAGAGGATCGCGTTTCGCGGAAACACGAATACATCTCGATGCTGTATCTTCATTTTTATCTGATTTATTGAACATCTCCCCCCCCCCCTTTTCTCCGGCGAATTATTTTATTAATTAAAAATAAGTTTTCGACGTTGATATTAAAATCACGACGACGCATTTAATTCGTACACATGCAACTTCGAAAACCGCGGTGTCAACGCGAAACTGCCGAAGGTAGATTCCGTCTACCTGCTTTTTTTATTTTTGCGCGACGCGTAAATGTAAAGAGAGAAAAAAAAAATAAATGGCTGTGCAGTCCGTCGCTTTCTACGAACGCGAGCCGACAACCGAACCGGTCGTTCCACCGCGCGATGCTAATTTTTACGCTGACACACAATATCTGCTGAATAGAGGAAACCGAACGTGCGCCGCGACAAACGTGCCTCTTATGAAACGCCCGAGACGTTTCGCAACGAGACAAAAATGTTAAACGGAAAAGCGCGCAATTCTAATATATGCTCTTTGTCGCTCGGTGTAAATACACAATAATAATACATTAATTATATATGTTCAATATGTTATTAATATGATATGTATAAATGTGTAATATATTAGTAAAATAATAGAATAAATTATATGGAAAATTCAAAATGTAATTGAATAATAACATGACGAATAATAACGTAATAGAAAATCCATAATATATGAAACTGTATATAGGAAAAATTGCTTGTGTGTAGGGATTAGAGAGATCGATAATCTCAATGTTTCACGGTATTTAATCAACAGATTGGAACATCGTATTTGAACGCTAAAATTTACATCTCGTAAGTGGTAATTCCATATGTACGCGCGCATTTCTCCACCGTCTCACGCATCGGGTGGAAAAATTTTGATATATAATACTAAAAAATAATTGGAAATACTTTAAAAATACTCTTTGCAAATGATAATTTTTAGAAATACAGACACACACACACACATACACACACATACTTTCTTTCTCTTTCTTTCATTCTATCGGATCATTTTCATCCCTACCATACAGATCTATTAGCTACAATATTTTGAATTATTTTTTTTTCTTATACGTTTTATACAGAGATTTAAAATCACAAGAAATTATTATTCGTAATGTGTAATAGTAGCGTTATTGTTGTCATCATTATTAATAATCTTACAGCAATCGACACGCAGTAATGGTACAAAGTTATTTCTGTTTTTCACATTCGCCGCAGACGACTATATTTCATACAACGTAATCGATCATACAATTACAACGATCGTTTCTAAAGTTAATTATCATCATTCGAGATTATCCCACGGCAGTTACGGCGATATTTCGCGACAGAAATATTTTCATCTTGGCGCACGCAGCAGTTGCCTATTGCAGGATTGCATTGAGTTGCATTTTAATCGCGCATTTTAACTTAACATATATTTTTACACATGTATTGACGCTCGCGTTAATGTCTCGTAAAAAGAAAGAAGAATAGATCACTCAAAACGATATTCCGATCTTGCAGATACAGTGTAGCTTCGCTAACAAATCGACGTTCTGGAAATTCGCAAAGTGCGTCTCATGATAATATAGAATACAGCTAAATCTACATCTTTTTTTTTTGTCTGAATTGAAAGAGGGCTACACTGTAGCTGAAGGGGAGTCTCTCGAAGGGCATTAAATATAGCGGCGTGTAAATACAATATTATCATCTCTTCTTACAAATAATTACAAACTAAGTCGGCTTTGCATTGATAAATGACTATAACGATCATTACTTTTTGCATTCTCTGTCTTTCTTTCTCTGTTTTACTCTCTCTCTCTTTCTCTCTATCACTTTCGTCACTCATACAAAGTTCAATAGAACTGATTATTAGAAATAATTCACCAGAGGTTATCTTTTCGTATTTTGCTAATATTCAAATTTCTCTCGCTGATCGAAAATGAAAAGAAAGGTTAACGCTCCAAATTTTTAAAAATAACTAGTTCAAGATGCACGGCGGGAGTACGTATTATTTTTATTCAGGACTGGTTTTCCCTTGTGTTTTCTCAGACACAAAATGCCATTGACTTTATACTCTACGATTTTATCTTTTAGGTGCAAAGCACACAGGCAATTAACTCGTTTCGCTTTTATTATGACTTACTCAAAGAGTGACGTATGCGCGTAGTATATTAAAACAGATTTGACATTTGGTGAACTCATGACTTTTACTCACTTGACCCTACTGCTGCGGGTTATCTCATTTCTTATGTACATATATAAACAGATATTATGGTAATAAAGTTTCCTTCTTCATATAGGATGCTTCAATAAAAAAAAAAAGGAAGAGTAAGATATAAGATTCGCAGCGAATTCGTTTTTGGCTAACAACTCTGTAATGATTACATATATTTAATTCTACTTACGTGTGTGATAAAAATAGATCCACAATATATGTATATATATCTAAACGTAATGTCTGTATTGTGTTGCCTTTATCACTACAATCTACTTGTTTAAGTTAAAGTGATAATGCAATACATAATACCTCTCTAAGTCCATCGTAAATCGTATGTAAACGGCATAACTAATGTAAATATATCGACACAATTTGAATTTCATTCTATCGAAACATCCGTTAGAAGCGGCTATATTGTAGCAGTTGTTTTGTAAACGATACCGCATATGCGTAATGAATAACGAATGTTGTAGTAAAAATATGCTGGGTCACCGATTCCGATAAAAGTTCTCGACCCAATGTGTATGTATAACCTGCAAGTGCTATCTAGATCAGAGTAAAACATAAGACCAAAAAGAAGCGTATCTATCTAAGAGGAACACAGAAGCATTGAGAAAGATCATGAAATAACAAGGAAAAAATTGGTCCGATCATCAGTTGAAAATAAAAATTTTATACCCCAAGTGCTTTTGAATCTTGGTATAATATAGATTATATTCTTTGTTCGCGCACGTTCGGCAGCACTGTTTCTCGTTAGATTCATGCTGCTAATAGCACTTTTCGGCCGCTCGATTAAAGGGACTATTTTGTAACACCGTTACGAATATGTAGTCATAATGATGCAATCCCATGGCTCCCTCTCGCTCGGAGTTTACACACCTACGCTACCCCCGTATCTCCTGCCTTTTCAACAATATCATCTTTAATCACAGTACCATCAAATCATTTCTCAGTTTCAGTATTTCCATTCATCCCGTTTGTTAATCATTTAATAAAAATTATTTCTGGAAAACAACTTTTCGTAAGTTTTACTAATTTTTACTGAAGGAGCAACCGAGATGTCAAGATACGTAGTTCTGCATATAAAACAATGTTCCATAATTTCAAAAATAATTTCATAATAATTTCAAAATAAAAATAATTTCGACAATAATGTCGGAGTAAGTAACCATTATATTGGTAACAATAAAATCATTCTGTAAAAAAAAAAAAAAAAAAAAAAAAGATTATAATAATATAGAATCCTACGAATATAGATATCATTTCTTGATAAATTAAAAGGATAAACTAATATAAAAAAAAAGCAGGAAAACACCGAAATAACATCAAATAATAATAAAATACGTAACTGAAGTCATCGCGCAAAATAAAAGATTCAAGAAATCGGATGAAGCTCAATGAACATCAACGCTGAACACGATCCAACGAACGTCGAATTTCGAACATTCGGTCGGCCGTTCGACGGGTAAATAGAAAAGTGCTTCGCACTCGTATCTCAGTACGCCCTTCCCGCGCGGCAAGTGACAATCCTGAAGAACCTTTCGAACGCACCGAGTCTACGTCTGACTCGACGCTCTCAAATGTTACTGTTCACCGACGCCTCGCTGTCCAAAATCCTCTTATCTTTTATCTCCTCCGTCAGCGGCTTGCTGAACACAGGCTCGATTGTCTCGGACAGCAGTTTCGGATTATGCTTGTCGATGTGCGTCAGCTCGATTGGGAGGTATATCGTTCGGCAGTAATCGATGTCGGCCCGGCATAACGGGCAACGCTCGCAGCGACGGGCGCAGTCCAGACAGGCAACGGCGTGTCCGCAGGGAAACAGGGCCGTGTCCAGGCTACGGTCCATGCAGATCCGGCAGAGCATAGCGTCCAGCAATCTCGCCAGGCATTCCCGAGATTCCTGAAATACGTGTACGCGGATCTCGTTATGTATCGAGTGACGCACGGTGGCGAGTCTTCCCCAATATTATTAGTTCACGGGACACGGAGTTCGTCGCTCACCTTGCACTTAGGATTCTCGCACTCCCCGCAGGCGTGCCTGTCGAGGATCTCGTTCTCCTCCGGCAGAGCTATGGTCGCCGCCTCGCAATAAAGCGCACGCCGCGCATTGTCGTATACCTCCCGGCAGGTCCTGCGTATGTCAAACACGTATTTCTTACCCAGGGTCGAGTCCTCGTTGAAAATGGAAATTATTGTCCCCTGGAAGAAAGCAACGGCGCTCCATTATATATACGTCATTCGAATTTAAATCAATTCGAATTTAGAAAAAAAAAACGAGTTGTAGTTCAAAAGAAACCGAGACGGTGTGAAAAAGAGATCGACCGAAAATAAATCAAATATACAGAATGAAATTCGTTCTCTTATACGAGGGGTATACCTTTAAATCGCGGATGAACTGCGCGGTGACCGCGCTCCTGACTGTCTCGCAGCTGTAGAACGCATGTTTCTCGGTGATCGCTCTATAAAGTCCGCTGGCGGATTGGCTGGAGTCTAATTTAAAGTCCAGCGACGTCTCCTCGTCGTCAAGTGAGAGATAAACCAAGTGGAACATTCGCCGTTGGGACGTGGCGCTTTGTATAGCTGTATACGGTATACTGTAACGCAATACATAATACATCGTATAATAAATTGAACCTGCGATGAAGGTAAAGGTAAAATAAAATCTTGATGCTAATCTTCCTTCTGCATAATGGATGAAGCGAAAACTTTGGAAGCTCTTATATATTTGTAAGGACTCTATTGATCTTATCGCGTATAAGGACTTTCTATTTGCTGTCATTTTATTAAGGATTTTATATAATATTAATGTAGAAACACAGCTTTGTCATTTTATATTAAGCGCGGATTGATAATGAAGTTCTCTCAGTAACAGCTGTTCCGTTGAACGATCGTCTCGGCGGATGGTACAACGTGTGTACCAGCCGGTACGTGACGTCTCCTATCGTCGGGAAGCAACATTAAAATTGATCTCGAGATTTTGCGTTGATAAATAAGCACCTTAATAAGGCAGTTTTATTAACAATTAGATGAATTGAATTAATCAACGTGCAATTAAGAACGCTCGTTTAAGCTTTTTTTTTAATTTGTTCAAATTTATTGCGATTAAAAATGCAATCTGGTACAATTTAAAAAACGATAAAGTTTGAACTTTTAACTCGGCTACTCTTTTTCTTAACCGTTAAAAAAGAAATTTGTTGAGAAAAATTTGACGACTGTGGACGCAAATCAATTTTTTGTGTTTATATCAAACATACATACAGAAATGTAGATGATATATATGTATTAATGTATAATCACTTTTGTGTCTCCTCGTCCTGATTGCGGTAGACCGTGATTCCGTGCGGACCAACGCCGATCATAGACACTCCGTTGTATCCAAATTTACTGTGAAACATTTCCTGTCCGAATGCGTCGAGGTTTGATATCTCTTTCAAGAGCCAATATTCAGCGGTCGACGCTTTCATTCCCTGAAATTTCACATATATCTCTGTTATTCATGCAGATCGTGCAACGCATATTCATATAGCAATATTCAGTTATCAAATTGTAAATTGTAAAAAAAAAAGATTTGTTCAAAATTCCTCTTCCTTCCTCCCGGAAAATACATCTCTCTACAAATGCAACTATTCAACAAATATTGTGTATTTTCTATTAAACGCAATCACACGTGCTCTATTAAACAAAAAAATGTTTAATTTAACGTACAAAAGCTTAAAAAAAAATAGAAAAGATTTATTGAACATCGAAAACGAGAAAACGCAAAGTTTACTCGGCGCATGTAAAACTTATTAAATAAAAGGAGAATAAAGTAAAAAGCGTACGTCTGGGATGTCAATCAGATAAAGTTGCTCAAACTATAAATAGGATGTTTTATATAATGACTAAATAGAATGAAAGAAAATAAAAAAACACTATAGAAGAAAGCGTAGTTACGCGTTAACAAAAATACAGGTTAACAAAAAGAATATATATTTATAAAGAAACGTGAAAAAAACCGAAAATTCGGTTGGTTGCATGGTGAAAATGGTTTCAACTTAAACCATGTCTATAAGAGAAATTTATTTGAATTTCACAATTACAATTAACTTATTAATATTAAAAGGTACTATTATAATTTGATAATATTAGAAGAAATATTTAATAGTTTTCAAAATAGCGTCAATTATTACGAAAATTCAGATGATCGTCATATCAAAAATGAATATCAGTGGACCGTGCAATCAGATGAACTTTTATAATATTTATTTTTACAAATTCATATATGTATAAATTCTTTCTGCACTACGTGTTAATAAAATGACGGGTCTCTTCTGTAATATATTGTATTTAATTTAAATTTCATATTCTGTCCAATCATTGTAAAATAATTATTTAGTTTCAACAATTTTCCGATCGTCACTCCATTGATGTGTGATGAGTCAAATTATAATTAAAATACCTCTATATAATTATTATTTTACCTATAATTAATACTTCTGTCATCGCACCTTGATTTCCTTGTGCTGCTGCACTATCCGTAGCAGGAAGTCTTGCGGTTTCGGGCCGCAGGAGTCCGCGGGTTGTATGTGACAGCATTGGGAGTAGAGCGCGTGCGGCGGTGACAGCGCATCGTAGTCACCTCCGTCGGCTTGCGCTATCAGCGCGACCAGACGAGCGACGGAGCCCCAATCCGCGACCTTCAGCCTACTCTCAACCAGCTCGAGGCGGGAGTGCAGGTAGAACTGGTGCCTGCAATCACAGAAGGCAGCCGGAGGACGGCGATGAGACGACGTTCGGATGTGCGTTTTCGCGAGGAAGCGGAGAGTTATTAATTGCAATTAGTTCAATTTCGTGCCGGGCGGACCGGCTAATACACACGATACTCCCCGGCTAAAGTAAGATTGATTACTCCCCCGTTCTTGGAGAGCATTGTTTTAAGGTCTCACCACCTTTCCCTCCCACCCTCCTCCCAAGTTGAACAATGCAGTAATACAATAATGCAGAAATGATTAACGATCGAGGCACGTTTCGCAGCGGCGAAAAATACGTTCGCAATTTAATTGCACGCGCGGTCGTTTAGGCATTATCGGCGAGAGAGAGGCTGTTCTCCCGCCTGTGCGTGACGTGAATCCTGCGAATCGCTGCTCCGCAGGGATCGGTAAAATACAACTGATACAACTGATTATTTAAAATAACAAATATAAAATAGATTCCAGAAACTTATTTAAAATAAAATATCTCAGGGGCCAATAAAAAACTGATACGACTTATTTAAAATGAGAGGAAAATATAAAATAGATTCCAAAAATATATTTAAAATATTAAATATGAAGTAGAAGAAGCTATTTAAAATAATAAATACTAAATAACTCTTTTACTTTTTGAAATTTAAAGTACATATTTTAAATAATGTTATTTTAAATACGACCGACCCCTGCAGTGCTCCGGGATGGCACTCGGTCGCACGGCAAGTTGGCGTTTCGGTTTATTTCCATTTTCAAACGTTTCACTCTCTTTTTTTCTCGACGATCACAAGAGGAAGAAGCTTCAGCGGATATCTTTACTTTGGTTCACCGAATGAATTTCTGGTTGACAACTTAAATGATTCATATCGCACATTTCCATGGTACCATGACTCTACATTCGCAATGCATATTTGAAGAATAGCGGGAGTGCGCGACCGGGAAAAGGGGCAGCTCTCCAAAATACCTCCGAGCTCCTTTTGCATACTCCTGAATATCCTTCAGCTGTACAATGCATACATCTCGCGATAAACATGTTGCCGTCGGAGAAGTGGAATTACGCGTCGAGAGGAAGTGAATAGCCCGCTCGCGAAGTACCAGAATACGGTAAAGAATCTGCATCAGAATATACCGTGCTGTACCATTTTTCATGATTCTGCATGCCGCCGGCGCGCGTTTCCCATCCTCTTCGCCTTTCCCTTTCTCCCATTTAATTCCCTCTGGCGAGCTCACGTCGCCGCGCCGCGGAGATAATGGCTAATCAGGGAACATAAAAAAAAAACTCGTGTGCGCACGATGGCAAATAATTTGACACAATGGGAAAACAATTTATTAATCCGTATACTGCCGTCCGCGCGAACATCGACCCTCATTCGGGTCGCGAGCGACACTTACAAAGCGTCGACATCAAACTCCGGCTTCAGCGCCATTACCTCGATATCTCAATTGATAAAAAAAGAGAGAGAGAGATAGAGAAATATCAGCGACATATTTCCGAGCTATTAACTCGCTGCTTTTTAACGAGGAAAATATCAATTTCGATCGAGAATAAATCGAGTCGACGCGATGAGTTGGCGAGAATCCACATCAGAGCCGATTTGAAGAAAACGTCAATGATCGAAGATCTCCGAATTTGCCGAACACTGTCGGTATCGAGAAACGTTCTCGCGTTCAGCCTGTTTACCGGAAAACTTCGAGGGAAGTGACCTCGATTTACTTTTTCCCTCCGAAAATTATCAAGAGAACATTCATTTCGGAAAAACGCGAAAGAGGAAGACGGTATAGCTGCGTAAAAAAATTGAGGTCGCGATCGTAATTTCGTGAGATCTGCGCGCCCGAGCAGTCGCACACGGCTTCCCCCGGGCAGCCTCATCACCGTCGGCATCTTGAAACGCGCGGGTCCTTCGAGAACCGCCGTGGAATTCCGTGTAAATTAAGCGATTTTCCCCGCCGTAAAGTTTCCACCGGTGCTTTGCGCTCGAAACGCCCTGCTCTCCCAAAAAAGAAAGACGTTATTTACCGCGGGTCGTTTTCTCCCGGTCGCGAATGTGCGAACAATCTGCGCCGCTCTCGTCGAACGAAACTCGCCGTCTCCGTCGGCCCCGAATTTCGGCGAAATCCGCGCGACGGTGGGAACTGCTCGAGAACCCAATGACATTTGTCACCGTGAGAGAGATATTGCAGGTTCTGCCCGAAGTTGCCGGAGGGGGATAGTTGTCGGAGAGAGAATGCCAGAACTCTCCGTCGTCGGTGAACGCATTGTTAACAATCGCGCGACGACGAAAATCGCCGGCCGGAAGATCGAACTCTTCCGGCCGAAGATTCGCGCGAGGGGACAATGGAGAGGGGCGATTCGAACTGCTTTCGCAAATTGAGACTCGCGCAGACTTAACTCTTAATCGAGCGACGTCGGCCTCGGCCGAGAGAGTTTCTCTCGCGATATTCCAACAACCGAAATTACTTTCCAGAATTACGAAATCCACGTTTCGCTTTTCTTCATCCGTACAATATTACGAGATTACCTGAAATTACACAATCTCACGGTTACGGAGTAGTGACCGTAACACAGCTCGATTCTCAGAATAATGAAATTATCAGAATAGCAGTCTAATCGAGTTCACTTAATCTCGATTTGCCTCGTAGAGGAGAAGCTTGTTGGATAATTAAGCAGAGTTCGCACTTTGCATCTGCAGCGATACCGTCTGTCTCGTTAATGTGAAATGACACTGAATTTAATATTCCTAACGCAATTCCACATATCGTTTACCGCTCCTCTGATTTTCGGGCGGCGATTTATCTCATTAAGCAGCACGTATACCTTATCCGACCGTTCCTTTCTCGCTGAAGATATTTCCGCTCGGCTAAAATCGAGGACGAATGAGGCAGCAAGAGGGAACATCGAAATTATGAACAACGCTTCTAACATCGGACTTACAACGCGGCAAGAAGATCTGACTAAACGAGGCTAGGCTGAGTGCTTTTAGAAAGCTTTCAAGCCGCCTTAAATGCCGGGAAATACCTCGGTGGGCTAAAGCTATTATTAAGCGCTATTACAGGCAAGGCCATTTTTGAAGAATTCAAACGCGACACTCTTTTTGTATCCGAAATATTTATTAGATATACCGCATGCCGAACGGATATCCCGTGTGTCGCGTCGTACTGTGTTTGACAAACATATAACCGCGTCGTACGGAGGGAATATTTGAATTAGCGCGAGTCAAGTAACTCCGGTAATATTAACGACATCGTCATGGAACGTCTGGCTGTAGTGGCGTATATTTCATTCATGACGTGTACACAGCACTTTCCTATACATAATTCAGAAATGGAAACAAGGTCGGCCCTTCCGCGCCGAGTTTCAAATAGGGCGTTCCACTCGATTGATTGTGCAAGAGGTACTTATAAATCAGTCATACTGGACTAACGCGCGAAGTATTGGTAACTAATACGTGCACCCGTGGCTCCGCGAACACATCTGCGAAATTCGAGGACGAAGTCGAAGCGAATGTTTCATTCGAAAATCGAGCACGTACAATTAATTCTCCGAGACTAACGTGTCGTTATCTAACAACCCGCAATAATTCTCATCGTTAAGCTCCTCCGAGAAACAAATGGCAAACGGACCAAGGCAGCCTATAGAAAACCGTAGAGCTGCAAAATCTCGATTTCCACGTGATTAAACACATGGTCTGTCCCAAAAGTAATGAGGCTAATTCTGGAAAAACCGTTTTATTGAAAATACATTAAATATTTTTTAAAGTAGGATCCTCGAGCGTCAATGCAGCAGTTCCAGCGTTGCTGACACTCTTCGTAGCAGCGCAGGAAGTCTTGATCGGGCATGCCTTCCAAAACACTCACCACGACTGCTTGGACTTTTTTAATTGTCTCAAAAATGTCCGACACTTTTTTTGGGGACTATTAAAAAGGTCTAAGCTGCCGCTACGAGTGTTCTGTAAGGCATGTCTGGTCAAGATTTCCTGCGCTGTTACGAAGGGTGGCAGTAACGCTGGTACCGCTGTATTGCCGGTTAAGAATCCTACTTTGAAAAATATTAAGCGTATTTTCAATAAAATAATTTTAGTCTAAAAGAATTATAGTCTCATTACTTTTGGGACAGACCATGTATAACTGTTCACGGATATCTTTTTAATAAAGATTATACGGGTAAAAGCGACGCGCGTCGGCGATGTCGCCAGCAAAGAGCTGTCCAAAGAGCGTGAAAACTCGAGCTGACGTTTGCGCTCGGATGAACAGGCGGTCGTGGAGAGCTGCAGGACCTCCGTGCGGTCCTGTGTCTACAATATTTCCTAGTAAATAATTCAAAGGTTATTTCCAACCGGCGCCCGGGTAATTTTAAAGTGGTCACCGCGGCCAGGACTTCGTCCGCTGGTTTGGCCCCTCGTAGACAGCGCGAAAGATGGACCAGCGAGAGTGAAGAGGGAGGAGAGGGGTGAAAGGAGTAGTTGTGAATAAACTGGCGGGATTTCTTAAGGGAACGAGCGCGTCGCAATTCGCCGGGACCGCGGGCGAGTCAGCTGCATGCGGATTAGCATTAGCGTGCGGTTGCCACGCCGCATGCGGACTGTCGCCCAGTGACATTAGCCAGCCACGTTGTAAATGAGTCAACACCAGATCCGACGAGCTGTGAATTTTCAAAAAGGGCACGCCGCTCGTTCGCGGCCGCTCAGATTTCCGCGCGCGGAGAGTTTCCACGCGGCAAAGAGGATCGGCTTTGGTAGCGGCTGTAAAGACTATACAGCTACAAAGTGACCGCAAGGCGATCCCTGCGGAGCGCTTTAAATTAGGTTTCATAATTCTCGAGGCGCACACGAGAGAAAACGGGAACGTCGCAGGATGCACGTGCGCGCGAGTATTAACCACCGCGTTCATAATGTATACGCAAATTACGAAGTTTCCTGTAGGACGAGAAGAACTGAATAATTAAGCATTGAATTAACCGTCTAAATCAAGTGATCGTTAAACTACTTTTTGTGACAATTAAACATT